TAATGATCAATGACAGATCGGAATGAGATTATCGATTGGGCGGTGCTATGGTACGTTTGCAGGCGCGTAAACGCGCTCACAGAGCTCAGTCACCCTCGCTTTTCATCAGCGGCGATGATCGATTGGATGTCTTCCCAACAATGCGGGAAACCGACGATTGGTGGAGGATCATTCTAAAATTTGTCGATTAGTGAATGTTTTCTAAATCTCACAAGAATGTACTATATAGGACCACCAGGGTCTAATGCGTGCCTCGAAAAATTCAGATTTTGTCTCCCCTTCCAACATGAGTCACCTCTCAATCAACGATCGATGGTGAGCCCATAGAGTCGCTGAGCCTGGGTCACCTTGGCACACTTCGAAATTGCTCCCCCAAAATTGCAATGGCTTATCAAGGGAGGATATCATCTATGCTATAGCAGCCAAAGAGCAAATAGTCGAAAGTTCTCCGAATTTCACAAAAAATTCCACCTCTCCTCCCTCCCCGACCCCCACCCCACCCTCAAAATCTACTTTGTCCCGTTTCTCAAAAAATGTGGCTCAATCTTCAGGATCAAGATTCTACCTCGCTGAGGAAATCCAAACAAATGGCTTTGCGGAAGCCAGTAGACTTGCGTCAGGGAACAACTTAAAAGCGCACTTCTAAAAGCTTTATTCCCATAACGCTTTTTTGTACTTTATCCATTACGTCCTGAGCGCAATGGCCCAAATGCCACAGATTAAATGTGTCCGTCAACCTACCGTGCAGGTGAGGTCGTCGAATGCTGAGAACACTGTGTCGCTATCGTTCAAGTACTTCTTGATGTCGTCAGCAGTCATCAGGGTCTAAAAGAACAGGGTTGAATTGTGCACACAGAAAACGGGCCCAGCTTCAGGTGCGGTGTTATCGTAACCGAATGTACTCACCGAGCCAAACAGGCTTTTGCCATCGATTTCAATGTCAAGATTCGACACAGATAAATTATGAATATTGCCGAAGGGGTGATCGGCAGGATTCACAGCTGGCAAGGCTACGCCTGAATTCACTGACGCTGGCGTGTATGGAGCAGACCCTGTAAATCATGAGCGCTAATCAAAGTGGTAGCTCTACATCCAGATTCATCAAAAATCGACTGGTCTCAGAGCAGTGTGAACGATTGCACGAAAGCGCACGACTCTACACAAAAGTCCTTAAATTACGTACCAGTTAATGATGGCGCTTCGACGCTGCCATGTTGTTGAATCTGCGTTTGATGCGGGCTGGTGCTGTGAAGCGGCTCCGATTGTGAGACGGCAGTTGGCGCCGTGCCAACGGACGCAGGATTCTGCGCAGCATGCGGCGTAGAAGGTGTGCCGGGACCACCAGCAAAACGGGCGCCAGCCGGAGAGGAAACCGCCTTAGACGGGCTGAAATATGGAACATAGATTTTTTTGCTTCTAATCTGCACTACTTTTAGGGAAGAAATGATTTCAATTTATTCGTTACTCCCTGAAAATAAACTGGAAATAGTTAACCAACCTTTGACTAGCAGCAAAAGGGCTCATCATTGACGGCGGCGCGGTTCCCATGGGAGCGGAACCCGGTGGAGGTGGGAACGGTGACATCACCGGTTGAGGCACATTCGTCACCGGGAATGGCTCGCTCTTTATCCTCTTGATCGGATGAACGGGCCCTGCAAAAATAGATTCAATTGAAGTGGTGATACCTCACAAATCTGTGAGCGCCTAGAAAAAAATTCAAAGGTGACTTTCAGAAATGCCTTCATTTTCATTTCAAGAGTTTGTAGTACTTTTTCGACGATTTGCAGGCTATCCCTTGCGGGTGAAAAACTGAAAATCACCATCTACAATCTATCTATATCTACGGCCTATTTCGCGTTCTGGCTGAGCTGAAAAAGTCTGCGAACACATGACGCCAACAAGTGACGTCAGTCTTCGCATGCCTCGTCATCATTTCCATTAACTGGCGACGTACTTGAGTACAGCTACTTGATTCTCTCACAAGTGCTATTATTGAACGGCCGACAGCTTCTGCTGGAAACGCGAAACCGACGACTGAGGTAAAGCAGGCTCCAAACTGTCGCTTGAAGGTACTGTTGCGGTTCGAGGGTAGCCAGTAAACTTTACGCCGCTTTCGAGAAAGATCTGGATCGTTCTCAGAACAGTCTTACTCAGCGAGCGCTGAGGAATCCTGCTCAGTCAACGGTGACGACGACGGTTGCCGGATGGTGACTCCCAGCCTCAATGATAATCGGTAATGCACCTCTCCAATAACTAGGGGGGGGGGGACTAGCGCTTGCAAAAGCTCCATGCACACAAACACCCCACCCACTAATCGCACCAGGGCCCAAATTAGCAGTAGTTATTCGTCAGGAGATAGTTGACTGCTGTGAGAGCGTCACAGACAACATGCATGCGTATTCGTGGTGTACAGCCAAGATGCCGGCCAGTCAGCGTGTGTCCGTGTCAAAACAATCAACAAACGACTACATCCCTCCCATTCCCTCGCGCCTCAAATCATCTCACCTCTCGCTTCTTCTCAGCCGGTCCAACAACCCATATACGGCGCAATAGTTTTCACCCGCACGTAATGTAGACTGGATAAACAACAAATTCCTTTCCGCGAAAACACACACTCGCCCACATACGGTAGTCATCGAAAAGACGCCTATGACGCAAAGTGGCGACCAGTTTCGCCTCAAGCTGTGGACGCTAGTGACGACAGGTGTCGAAATTCAGGAGGCATGTTCCGCATGGCAACCACAGCGCAGATACCATCCACCCTACTGTTTGCTTTACCAGAGCAGTGTAGTAATTCGGAGCATCAGCAAAATGGCTCAATGTCTGACAAAATCTTCGCTCACATACTATGACTCGAACTAGAAGGGAAACACTGAGCAGGAATATGATTATACGCTTTCTTCAGCATTAGGTAATCTTATGCCACAGCTAGTGTGGTGCATGAAGCCATATAAACCCCCGTGATAACTAGGTGTTAGTCACTGCATATTGCCCAAACAACTGGAAGGCAGAGGACGTGGTCGGTCATCGGCAGCCTTCGATCCACGGAGCGATCTCTCCTATCACTGTTTACATGCCTCTCTGCCTCTTTCACTTGATGAGGTACGTTCATCGAGGCTAAACCTTAATGGTATTACGGCAAGCTCACAACAAGAAAAGCCTGCGGCGTCTGGATTGACACCCTGAAGGCTCGCGCGCCTGCAACAATGCCCCAGCCCACGGCATACGAGTACCCCACCCAATATGCTATTCTCAAGTGCGACATTTGTCAACCGTTTAATTCAATTAGCGCCAAAGCAAAAAAACTACCAGCAAATAGGATAGCCTACCCAAGCCAAAATAGACCAAATTTCTTTTGACTGTTGTCCCACAGGGATGCGATGATGCGCGACATGTGGTAGCGCAGTCCCATTCCATAAGTGAACTGCCACCCCCCCCCCCCTCAACTGCTACAAACGATGGTCCCATGGCGAGCCAACAGGAGAGATACAACAGCGAGACTTCAGCGATTATTCATTTCAGGTTTGATGCATCGCCGATGTGCCCAGCCACCAGCCGGGAAAACTCGGTTGATTAGCGCCTGATGATATCAACACTTTCGTGGAAGAAATCCCTCCGAATGTAGACGACTTCCGTTTCGCCCTTGAAGATGTGTGTAATCCTCATCGACTGGATGTTGATGTCAAACCCCCGTGTGTCTAGCTTAATGTGCCGTCCGTCTGTTATGTCTCTCTTCGTTCCCTTCCTCCTTTACTCCCCTAGTAGCGATCACCACACACAGTGAAAACATGTTTGGTCGTCGTCACGAGGCGCTATGTTCCAACTACTACCACACTGAACTAGCCGGCCTCTCCCACCCCAACTCGTTCTGTAACAAAAAAGGTAGAAGGCAAAAACTGTCATAAGACCGAACCTTGAACGCTGATTTGGGTTGAGATCCGTGTGGAACTATATCGTCACAATGCCGCCTTCTATGACTTCAGAAACTCGAAGAAGCGCAGAAGTCAACATACGTGCGGTAGGCGTTTAGCTTACAGAGCGCTGCCAAGTTACGTAGGGACATTAGAGTCACCACAAATCACTGAGTGCAATATCAATCAGAGATGTAAACAATGTTGGTTTTCCGGATTTCTTGGGCGCCTGCTGAACTGAAGGCAAAGGTCAAAATAACATCCTCGAGTTCACCAAGATAAGGAACACATGGCTCCCACTCCAGTTCACTCATATCCTCACTTCTTTATAATGCCAAAACGCTGCTCTGGAAAATGCTAATCAGACGTTCCATCGAAAAGGTAAAGGGTTCGAGCTAGAGCTTGAGGTGATGGAGCAGCTCAGCTCAGCCAACGCTCAGAGATTGCGCGTTGACAAGTAAAAGATAGCCGAGCTCTCAGTTCATGTTATGCCATAAGCTGAGCCTAGGACATTCGATTAAGCCCCTGCTAGCGTGTCATTTCGCACAAATCGCGGCAGCGCCACTGCAGCACAAGGTCGATGGCCGTTAAACCTTGCCTCGTAAACGCCGTCGACGAACGCACGCACGCATATCGGAAAGCTCGTAAACGAATTGACGGCACACATTGTTGTCTCAGTTATAATATATGTCGACCAACACTGACGACCGGTTGGCTTTGCGCCAAACCGCGCCGCGAACGATTACATGTGACAGTTCACCTGGGAGGACCAGGACCATAGGTAGGTGGTGGAGCTGATATTCGGAAGTCGGGGTGGTAAAGGCCGATGCGCTAGCCTACCGGCGATGCTAGGGGTCGCCCACTGCAACCACAATGACTCAACCCAAAAGGCACGTTACTCGATCTCAAAGAGGTAACTGACCCGAGTGAGAAATTTCGCAACCGTCGTAGATGTTCTGCACGACCCCGTTTGTTACCGTGAATAAAGGCCAACCGGAGGGATGTGAAGAGAAAGGTATTGTGAGGGAGAAATCACAGTCAACAAAAAAAAAAGACTTCAACGCACAAATTGCGAACGAAGTACTGAAAATGAAGTTTTCTTTGAGAACAGGAAACCTATGCAATTTGATATAACATTAGTGGTTATGCCAACTCTACTAAAGATAGCTGCCGTGTAGGAAAGGTCTTACCGTTCTCATCATTTGAGCGCTTTCGACCGTTCAGCTCGGCTTCAATTGGTCGATATTCGCCGTTTGGTTCCAGAATCATCTCAGCCGATTGAGAACCTGTCGTCTCTCGGAGCATCTTGCCCACGAAGTAGTCGATTTCGATCTCACTCAATTGGAAGATGGTCCTACAAAAATTTTTGCTCATTTCTAGAAGACAACAATTAAAAAAGCATAAAGCTTTCCTGAAAAAAAGCGGATAATTATTAATAATTATTATTCTTGAAAAAACAAGCAGTATCAATTCAAAGAATGATAATCAAATCAATGCTGAAAACTCAGCGTAAGGTATGAAATTTGGCTAACTCATTCGAGTACGCTTCCGGTTACTCCCCTTCAAACATTGCAGTTGATGCCGATGTGATCTGTCCATCAGAACCTTTTGATTGTGCCCCTTTCTGGTCATTCCGTTCCTATCACATTTTGAAAGAGGCACGGCATTTTTCACCGTTAATTACTCCTGCCCCGCCAGTTTTTTCGTATATTTGTCGATGTTAACATTTAAGTAAGCGCAAAGTTGCATTCTGCAGTAGCGCCGCCACCACCCACTAGTCGTCTTTCAGGATCGAATTCTGAGGTGGGCGACCAAGCTTTGAATGCCTGAGGGAAACAGTACCAGGATTGCTTGCGAGGATAAAAACACCGACTTGCACATCGACTGGCCCTCATTTCGCTGTAAGGTCAAATGGCGCTACCATTCGAATAGAAGAGAACGTGAGCGTTACCAGAAGGACATGTTCAACCACTACGTCGATATCTTCAAAAATAGTCTCCCACGTTATCCCTTGTTGGAACCTCGGCATTATTGGTCGAATTGTTATGTTCTTCTGTGCCACACGAGGTTGATAATTGGAACCTTTTATTAACTGGCCCGACGTTTCGACCTTTTCGTCTTCTTCAGAGGCCAAAGGTTCCACCAGTTTCTGCGGAGCATCAGCTCACGTCCTGTTAGTAATATTAGTATGGGCCTATGAAGAAGAAAAGGTCGAAACGTCGGACCATTCAATAAAAGGTTCCAATTATTATCCTCGTGTGGCACAGAACAATTAAAAAATTTCAAAAATATATGCACTGGTAATTGTATTTGTAAGGTCTCATGCGCCGAAGTTATTAAATCATTGTTAATTTCTCACAGAGATTCTTATGTATAGTGAGGATGACTAACTAGCGAATAAACCAGGGGTTGCATCTTCGATCGTAATTCCCGACTTACTTGAAAAGAATCAGGGAGCTTTCATGTGATAGTGGACAGGCAATCACATTGTTTTGAACAAAAAAGATGTTGTTTTGTCACCGCATTTACAATCATAGAGGAGAGAAGTGACTTTGAAAAAAAAACGCCAAATTACAGCAATTTGGGACGCATTCTTCTATTTTATTTCATAATGGGAATTTTTATTAACTTTCAATTTATTTTGACTATAATTTAGTTTTCGTATTAAACAGCACAATTTTCTATGCCAACACATGTATTCAGAAAGTAGTGGGAAATATGGATCAACACAGCTAATTCAACCGATTGGAGCGAAACCACAACAAACAAGTTCCTTGCGAAACAAATTGAGAAATAACAACAAGGTTTTCGGAAGTTCTCAGAGACGTGAGGGGGGATTCTGTGCAAGGGTCAATGACTGCAAAAGGCAAATGGGGAAATTTGCGGTCAAAGGTCGAATTCCAAAGGCTCTCCTTCTACTTCATAGATTTCACCACGAATGAGGACTGTGGAGGTGCTGACTACTTGAGACGCTATTTTTCAAATATAGGAGGCCCCGGAAAGACCCAATGTTAACTATGAACATTCATTGGTGGGAAACCTCAGTAAAAGCAAAACAGGTGAATCAGCAAAATCTGTAGGCTCGTATGTTGATTCCAAAGCAAGCTAAGTTGCCTAAAGAACTTTGTGGAGCTCCAAAAACAGATCTAATGGCGACAAAAATACAATATGAAGCTCTTCCGTTGGCGGAAACTTTTGATGACCAACGGATGAAGGTGAAAAAACACAAGCCCTTGTTATCCCACGTCCTTCTAGTCTGTGTTAGACACATATAAGGAAGGTGGGAGCGGAGCTAAAGCACTTTCGCATTGCCTGGTGCCGCGCCAGTAGGGCATGCCAATGCAATCTCCTTTGTAATCGAACGAAATTCTGCGGAATTCTCTAAAATGAGCCGGCAAAAAACAGGTGTCAAATATGGGAGCGGGCAAGCAGATAGGCAGTGTTATGGGGATGCCCGGATTTTTCCCAGCTAGCGCCTCACGTAACTCCTGTTTAAACCGCTCAATTGATTATGCGGGATCCGGGGATAATGCTGGTGAGAGATGCTTCATGAGCCATGTGTACGAAAAGTGTTTCGAAGCCAAGGAACATAAGGGTTTCACATGCTATTCTTCCGGAACGGTTTTAAGATAGATACTAATATTTTGCTGGGCGGAAGTGGTGTAGTGGCAAGTGGCGCTACCACGCGAGCGGTCCGGGGATCAAATCCTGGGTCGTGAGTCGCCCGGGCCAACCAAGCCTTCCATCCCTCCGGGGTCGGTTAATTGGTACCAGACTTGTCTGGGAGGATAAACACTGACTTGTACATCGGCTGGCCCCGCAAGTCATTGTATAGGCCACATCGCATTCAAACGCCACTACGAATGTACAAATGGAAGTAGAATGCGTGCCGCATCCCAAAAAGGGATTGATCAACGGCAAATGCTTTATCCTTTATTTTTGTTTTAATTTTGCTGATATCGAGGACAACTGTCTTGCAGAAAGCCAATTCTAGTCTCCTATAACATTGACCGCCATCGCCCGTCCGCAGAATTGGCGTTTTACGCTAAAACAATCTCAAAGGGTAAAAGAACTTAAAGGACGTCAAATCCCAGAAGCTTCGCCAGCATGCACGTCTCAAAAGTGAGGCATAATTCTCAGAACAGCCGTGCTTAGTCGAAATGACACATGGTTTGCTATCGACACTACGGAGTAAGGGAAGGCTCGGCTCAGAGAGCATGAAAAGGGAAGTTTCAAAACAGCTCGGAAAACAATCATGACTCACTGGCTGGGCAGCTCAGTGCTGTTGCCTGCGTTCTAATAAACAGCTATTTAGAAACAAAAGAGTCCTAACAAATAGAAAGATGAGCATATGCTGAGACAATCAAAAAATAGGTAAATAAAGGAGCTTGTAGTGGAACTCGCCTGCAGAGATGACACTCGTAGAGGGAGTTCTCGTTCTGCTGCATGATGAACGGCTCCAAATCGAAGCACGCCGCATGAGCACAGCGTGTGGATCGAGCCGGAATCGACATTCTTCGATGCGTCAGGTCACACACCAGCGGTAGTCGTAGACCAGAAGGTGGCGCGAATTTCAACACTGAAATGTGACGGCACTGCACAAACGGTTGTATGATTTGAGGCGCAAGTGAGCAAACGATTAGCCGGATGACGTCACGCGCTCGCTGAGTTACCAAATTAAACCGCTGGGGAAACGCGGCGGTGACGATGGCCAATGGCCACTGTCAGCGCCGAGACCGATCTCTGAACGCGCTGATAGCGAAAACAATCGCACGACGGCAGATTGCAGGCGCCAATATCGGCGATGCTGAAATAGCGCGCGACATCATCCGCCGAGGGTAACTCGTTTAGAGGTGTGTACATGCAGTTCCCTGCTCGGGTCAGGTCGCCCAAATTAGAACACCTTTGATTTGCTCGTATCTAGCCTGAGCCTAAGCCTAAGCTTAGGCTTTGAGCATAATGCGTAAGCATAAGCCTCTGCCTAGTCTAAGCCGAACCTTAGCCATCAATGGCTACGCAGCACTGGTGACCTGCCTGGTAGGAGACCTGCACATATCCCCTGTTTAGAGCATCGTTCTGTACACTTACGCTTTTCGCGGCACAATTCCGGTGTGCATCCTTGGGTACGTGAGAAAATGTCCTGGGTGACTTTCGCTAAGGGTTGCCGTACAACCAACTGCATGATGAACGAATGTGACTGAAATGGTGAAATCGGTTGATGAGCCTGTGTCAGTCCGTTCTACAAAACACCATCAACTCACGCAAACACACTGGTTCACATTGAATTCGATTGTATTCGGTCCGGGCACTGCGACTTGCTTGATGAACAGCGACCGGCTGAGATCAGGAATCGGCAGCAATTGACCATTGATTAACACCTGGAAAATGAGTTGTAAGATTTCGAATCCTGACCTCACCAATGGGGTACAGAAGGTCTACAGAAAGGGTCTACAGGTCTACAGAAAGATTTGAGGTTGACAAGCACTGGTTTGACTCACCTGAATACTACACTCAGGAATCGTTCCAGGAACTGATTGACCGTTTGGCGCTTGCTTTGGCGGCCACTGAGTTGCCATTTTCTTGTCGTCTTTATGGAAACTTTTCAGTTGAATGTCAATGAAAGGCCTGAAAACGTTCCTTTTATGATGGGCTCCTTATAAGCCGGACTACCATTTCACTCACGATTGCAACTGTTGTATGATTTCCGGTCGGAGATTGAAAGTAAAGGTGTGGTGGTTCATGTTATGCTCAAGGCCAAATGGTCGCATAATCACCTTAAAATAAATAAATTGCATTCTTGGCCATAATTACAAGTTTTATTTCAATTCTTGACAAGTCTCAAGATCAACCTCCTTCGGCAGTATCACAGGGGGCATTCCGTCGGGCGCATACGGGACGTTGTACCGTCCATCAGGCGGTGCATTCGGGTTCGGGTACGAGACCACCTAAACACGTCATAATAATTGTGCCTGTTGAAACGCTGTAAATGTAGTAGGATTACGTGGAAGTGCTATAACAGTACCTGCTGATGTTGAGCGGGTTGTTGTACTTGTCCGTAAAGGATTGGAGCACCAGCGCGATACTGAAACTAGAACTGGTATACGCCGCTACAGCACTTTCAACACGAAACTTTGATCACTTAGTCACCTTTCTCTACCTCTGCACTATTTGTTTAGACCCCTTATTTACTATTTATATTTACGTATCAGTCGCTTACCATTTGGGGATATCCCGGCGACGGCATCATACCAGGAGGTCGAGCGTTGGCAGGCATCGGATAGGAAGGCGACGCCATCGCGCTTTGCGGATAACGCATCAACGGTTGTGTTTGGCCGGGAACGCTGAAAAAGGAGGGCTAACATTACGGGACAAATTCAAAATGTATGCCACTCTTCTCGTCACGTACTTGTTCACCCCCATCGGAACACCCTGGTACATCGGATCGAATGGCTGTCCAGGTTGCTGCTGCTGCATTGCCACGCTTGGAACGCGTCGAGCTCGTGCTTGAGCTTGAGCCTGAAACTACCACATTGGAGGAACCCGATCTAATTGGTGAAAGATGAAGTGGCCCTTCTGCAGTGCATCCAATTTGTTTTTGTTAAAATATTTGAATAATTATAATAAGCGAGACATCGTTTCTTCTATAAGGAAAAAAATCGAATACGAGAAAAGAATATGAATGAGAAAAGAAAAGAAAACAAGTGTGGGCGAATTTAGGCCAAAATGCATTGGCGTATTGACCACTGTTGTTATTCTATATTGGTAAAAATATATTGTTTGAGTTATTATCTTTATCGACGCGACATGATCCACTCCCCCCCCCCCCCCTCCCCCTCTCCCAGGGCAGCTTCTGAATCTTCAGAGGTACCAGTGTATTCCTTCGAAAGAGGACATCTAAGAATATAGTACTGACTACCTTTGTCCATATCATTTTAGTTTTTTACTTGGATTTTCCCTTCAAACATTTCGATAACTAACCGAAATGTGAGGTGTGCAAGTGAAGTTTCTACGACATTTTGTGGAGCTGATTCTAGCGCTCCCACATTTACGGCAGACTTTCACAAACAAAAGGCGCTTACATCAATCCGTGCACTGACTCGGCATAGGGCTAATGTGCTTATCACTTGAAAATCACTCAACAAGAAGGAGCGAGATTAGTCTGGAGAAGTTTGACTTTTCCGCGAAACAGCTCCTGTCACACTTCATCTAAGTGTTGCTTATTCGAGTCAACGCAGGACATTGTGAAGGGGAAATGACCCGGCGACTGAAAAAAATCCGGTCCATGAGTCCAAAATTGCCAGCGCTTGATATTATTCCGAGAAGAATGAGGAGTCTGCGTGAGGAATTCCAGAGACTGACATCTCGAGGTGCCGAATTGTTGCTGTTCCAACTAACTTTGTTAACACCCAACAAGACATTTATTGCAACTAACGAATATTTAGCGACTGCCGATCTAAAGCCCTCACATTTTATTTATCGTTTTCGAAAAACCCTGAGGCAGTCAAAAGTGTAGTGGCCCAGGAATCTTCTCGCCATTATTTGCCGGCCTTATGGCATATTTTCTGCAGGCACACCGAGCGGAACAAGCAGGATGACTGCCACCGCAATCCAGGAACTCTTCCATGCTTGCTGCCATGTTGCTGCAGATTTAGAGCTACGTTTTTTGGACAACCTCCCCACATAGACGACCAAAACCCAGAAGAAACAAGAGCAGAGGAAGAAATGATGGCACAAAAGGCGGCCGAAATGTACACTGAGCGAATGGCAATCTTTACCGACATTTTTGTTTTCTGTGGTCAGAAAATGCAAACAAGGCTAAGCAGGAAGAGGTATACGGTACAGTTAATCACGTAGGACCCTTGCGAACATCCAAGCGAATACCATCAGTCTATGGCGGAATGATAGAATGGATTATCCGGTTGACTCTATTTCATAAGGAGTGTCGAATAAATGCCCTCTGGAAACTGTACAAAACGAGCACACTCCCCTCCAGAATCGTTCGGGGATTTCTCGCGCACCCCTGATGTGTCCAGGTTTTTGGCTTAATGTGATGAGCTTTTCCTCAGATTTTGGCACTCGCACAAAAATCTCTTCCCAGCAATCCCAAACGATAGTTAAGATTGTGAAGACTATCCAAAATTCACAAACGGAAGGTAGATACAAAATATTATTCACGCCTCAAGCCTATTCCCAAAGGACTATTTGATCGATTACGAGTAGGTGTAGTACTAGTGAGAATCAGTTCCACAAACAAGTCAGCTGCCACAACACCAACAACCGCTTGTGTAGCTTCACCTATACTGCAGCATGCATCATATATAAATATGTCGATTGCTGCAACACCCTTAAAATATACCACGCACCGCCTTCCCCTTCCCCTACCCTCATGTATGTTTAAAGCTTAGTAGAATAAAAGTCAGAC